GTAGCTCACATTCAAGAACATGTACTACCTCTCTGCATAATCTAACCATGCTTAACTCAGAGAGACTTTACTCACATGAGTTCTGTAAAGCATCAGATCACTTTAAGGTAGCTCACATTCAAGAACATGTACTACCTCTCTGCATAATCTAACCATGCTTAACTCAGAGAGACTTTACTCACATGAGTTCTGTAAAGCATCAGATCACTTTAAGGTAGCTCACATTCAAGAACATGTACTACCTCTCTGCATAATCTAACCATGCTTAACTCAGAGAGACTTTACTCACATGAGTTCTGTAAAGCATCAGATCACTTTAAGGTAGCTCACATTCAAGAACATGTACTACCTCTCTGCATAATCTAACCATGCTTAACTCAGAGAGACTTTACTCACATGAGTTCTGTAAAGCATCAGATCACTTTAAGGTAGCTCACATTCAAGAACATGTACTACCTCTCTGCATAATCTAACCATGCTTAACTCAGAGAGACTTTACTCACATGAGTTCTGTAAAGCATCAGATCACTTTAAGGTAGCTCACATTCAAGAACATGTACTACCTCTCTGCATAATCTAACCATGCTTAACTCAGAGAGACTTTACTCACATGAGTTCTGTAAAGCATCAGATCACTTTAAGGTAGCTCACATTCAAGAACATGTACTACCTCTGCATGATCTAGCCATGCTTAACTCAGAAAGACTTAACTCTATACTCACATGAGTTCTGTACAACATCAGATCACTTTAAGGTAGCCCACATTCAACAACATGTACTACCTCTGCATGATCTAACCATGCTTAACTCAGAGAGACTTAACTCTATACTCACATGAGTTCTGTACAACATCAGATCACTTCAAGGTAGCCCACATTCAAGAACATGTACTACCTCTGCATGATCTAACCATGCTTAACTCAGAAAGACTTAACTCTATACTCACATGAGTTCTGCACAACATCAGATCACTTTAAGGTAGCCCACATTCAAGAACATGTACTACCTCTGCATGATCTAATCATGATTGTTTGAAACACTAGGTCGGGTATTGTACCCATACTCTCAGAAAAAGAACAAAAATTCTCAGAGACGAGGAGCATTCTTGTCTTCCTCCACGAGATTTAAAGACAGTATAGATCCGACGAAGCGTGGCAAAACCCCGGGTCCAGGCGAATATGATATGCCCTCGACGAAAACACAACATGGCGGGCTCATGGTCACTAAGGATATTCGCTTCAGATCACAGAAGAGCGAAGTGCCAGGCCCTGGGAATTATGAGGTATGATATAGTCTGGATATACAGATCTAAATACAAAGGTTGTCACTCACAACTAGTTGATAGATTGTTGAATGGCAAGGCGATAACAAGTTGTTGGAACAACGTGTACCAAATCTGTCGAGCTCAATAACCTTGTAGCAAGTTGTCAACAAGTTGTAACAATGCTGTTATTTTATCAAATTGCTACAAGGTTGTCACTAACAACTTGTTGAATTGCATGACGATAACAAGTTGTTGGAACAATTTGTAACAAGACTGTTGAGCTCAACAACCTTGTAGCGAGTTGCCACCAACAAGCCGTTGACAACTTGTCAACAAACTGGGAACAAGCAGTGCGAACACATCCTGTTGACAAGTTGTTGGAACAGCATTGCTACAAGTCTGCTGTGGGTTTGTTACAACTTGTGCACAAGTTGTTACAGGTCTGGAAACAAGTTTTTACAAATCTGTTCACAAGCTGTCGACAATTAATTATGTTCGCACTGCTTGTTCCCAGTTGTTGTAACAAGTTTGGAACAAGCTGTTAACAACTTGTAACAAAGGCTTGATGACATTATCAAACTTGTGGCAAAAGTTGTTCTAACAAGTCTGATACAGTCATGATATAACAAGAATGTTTCAAGGTTGATGACACAAGGTTGCAACAATACTGCTATATCATGACTGTATCGGACTTGTTGGAACAACCTTGCAACAAGTCTGATAATATCAACAAGGTTGTTACAAGTTGTTAACAGTTTGTTCCAAACTTGCTGACAAGCAGTGCGAAGACAACTTGTTGGCAGACTTGCTACAAGATGCGAGATTTTTGCGTGTGTTGTGTTCGCACTGATTGTTCCTAGTTTTTCTCGCTCAATGGCATGATCAGACTTGTTACAAGGTTGTTCTAACAAGTCTGATACAGGCATGAAACCTTATACTGACCCAAAATTCTGTTTGCCCAACCCTTTTCTCTTCGGTGCCACCCCCATTATAAATAATGACCACTCCCTTAATGACCGCTGCCTAAATAACCCACATAAAATTAATTGTACATTAACTCTCTTTTTCTAGCTGAGTCCGCAGTTTGCACACTCAATACTCAAAGGGACATTTAATGCAACGTTAAACAATCCAATGGGCAAATCAAGTTACGAAGAATCGAACGATAGACATTCGAAAACACGACTGCATGATATAACCTTGTAGGCTATAGCACCCAATTAAACGTAAAACATTTAGAAAATAAATTCAGTAATTCTGACAAAAATCCATGTTTTAGTATTTAGTTTGCGAGGCAAACATCATCTGTGAGTCTTTGTGGTTACGTGAGTGTGGGCCAGTTAAACAATGGGAAATGATCAGCCTGCTTTGCGCGCACTGTTTGCCTGCGAATCGGGCCTTTCAGAACCGGAAATCGGGCTGGTGCACGCGCTCGTTCTTTTGATTTGGCAAAAGAAGCACGACAAATGGCAAAATAGACCTTATGCATAATGACGTCACAAGGCTCGATGCCCGCGAGGAATGCTGGTCTTAGTAGTCATCCCCCGGGAAAATTTCGGTAGTGGCCATTTTGAATTGTTTAATTTTCCTGGGCGATGACTATAAAGACCAGCATTCTTCGCGGGCATCAAGCTTTGTGACCTCATTATGCATAAGGTCTATTCGCACGGTGCCCATTTGCAAAAAAAAAACAACTGCAAACTGCTCTAATTCTTTCTGTCACTTTCATTTGATCTTTTCCGTGAGTCAGCCTCAACGACCTTTGATAGTAATCGTGTGTCATCTAGTTAAACATGGATTCGTAGAGCAAAGTTTCAATGCTGGCGTATCAGACTTGCGGTTTTAGGAAAGTCATAATACCAGCGTTATAGATGCTATCGAGATACTATTTAGGGAAGCCTCACATATCGATTTTGGTCATATGGACGTTTCTCTGGAGACCCTTCCACGCCCACTTACAAACATCACACATAGTCATCGATATTTTGTTCTTATAGTACACGTAAGGTAATTTTCTACTATTCTCTACGGTCGTCTATTGGCGATGCTTCCGCGACGAATATGTCGTCTTCTGCTGTCATATGTTTTTTATTTTAAAATATATATGAACTTCAAAATTTCCAACGTTTCTCAAAACAACTTACCATTTTCGGCCCAAATGTGGTAGGAATTCCCGCACGCAATACAAAAGTATACAAAATTTGCGAACTTTGCAAGGCTATACTTTCCCTATTTTACAACATTTCGCAACCAAACTTTGCAATTTTACTCATTTTAGTATGCTCTTTCCGGAAATATACTTTTTTTTCCAAGATAAAAAGTAGTCTATAATGGGAATTGTCTCTATTAAATAGTAGTTAAAAGTTTTATATAACCGCCCCCAGCTGTCTATTACAGTTAGATGCACTATCGCGTTGTTTGTTTTGCCACTTACTGCCGTGCCAAAACAAAAACAGACTATCAAGCTGCAAATTAAACAACACAACAACGAGTATTTATTTATACAGCTTGTTTTAGCAAAACAAACAATTTACTATCAAGCTTTCATTTTACCCAAAAGTTCGTCTAACGCATATTATAGTAAAATTGTAAATTTATTTCTATTATAGTAATAAGTCACACAACATCCGCTTACCGGTATTGTGTTTCTACGATAAATCTGAATGAACTTTTAACGTGTTCGTCCAGTTCTTTGCGTGTTTTAATTTGTTGTCTGCGTGTTTTAACTTTCTGTTTACGTTTTCTTGTGAGATCTTTGGATCCTTCCGTATGTTCTTAACGAAACTGACTTATGCTTATCCTTAATCCAATCGCGTCCTTTCCAATTTCGGCAACCTAAAAAATACACGACAGTAAATAAGTCTACACATGTAAAAACGCACAAATTGTTGTGGGGCTGCAAACAAGTTGTTACAAATCTGTTCACAAGCTGTCGACAGGTTGTGTTCGCACTGCTTGTTCCCAGTTGTTGTAACAAATTTGGAACAAGCTAGATGTCATTATCAGACTTGTTACAAGGTTGTTCTAACAAGTCTGATATAGTCATGATATAACAAAAATGTTACAAGGTTGTTCTTACAAGTCTGATACAGTCATGATATAACAAGACTATTACAAGGTTGTTCTAACAAGTCTGATACAGTCATGATATAACAAGAATTACAAGGTTACAAGTCTGATACAGTCATGATATAACTTACAAGTCTGATACAGTCATGATATAACAAGAATGTTACAAGGTTGTTCTAACAAGTCTGATACAGTCATGATATAACAAGAATGTTACAAGGTTGTTCTAACAAGTCTGATACAGTCATGATATAACAAGAATGTTACAAGGTTTTTCTAACAAGTCTGATGCAGTCATGATATAACAAGAATGTTACAAGGTTGTTCTAACAAGTCTGATACAGTCATGATATAACAAGAATGTTACAAGGTTGTTCTAACAAGTCTGATACAGTCATGATATAGCAAGAATGTTACAAGGTTGTTCTAACAAGTCTGATACAGTCATGATATAACAAGAATGTTACAAGGTTGTTCTAACAAGTCTGATACAGTCATGATATAACAAGAATGTTACAAGGTTGTTCTAACAAGTCTGATACAGTCATGATATAACAAGAATGTTACAAGGTTGTTGTAACAAGTTTCATACAGTCATGATATAACAAGAATGTTACAAGTAATACAAGGTTGTTCTGACAAGTCTGATACAGTCATGATATAACAAGAATGTGACAAGGTTGTTCTAACAAGTCTGATACAATCATGATATAACAAGAATGTTACAAGGTTGTTCTAACAAGTCTGATACAGTCATGATATACAATACAATACAATAAAATATAACATTATAACAAGAATTTTATATGTTGGACCACACAGGGTTGTAACATTATTGTTATATCATGACTGTGTCGGATTTGTTGGAACAACCTTGTAACAAGTCTGATAATATCATCAAGCTTGTTACAAGTTGTCAACAGCTTGTTCCAAACTTGTTACAACAACTGGGAACAAGCAGTGCGAACACAACTAGCGACAGCTTGTGAACAGATTTGTAACAACTTGTCTGCAGACCTGTAACAACTTGTGCGTGTTTATGTGTGTTGTTGGCGATTTGCTACAAGTTGCGAGATTTTTGCGTGTGTGCGCGAAAATCGCAGGGTGAAATCGTGCCTTTACCCTTGATAAACTAAGACGTACAGCTCAGCGCGTGCGCTAACCGAATCTGTCAACCTCTATAACTTACCTTACAAACATTACACAGCTTTCCTTTATACTCTGGGAAATACGAGGCTTGACATAATGCGCATTTTTCTTGCGGCTTACCCCTGAAAGTATAACGGTGGAATTTTTAAAACAATGGAACATTCTGATCACGGGATTATAACTGGATGGCGTGGAGAACAGTGGGATTTTGAAAACAATGAAAAGACAATGGAACATTCTGATCACCGGATCACGACTGGATGGCATGGAGAACAGTGGGATTTTGAAAACAATGAAAAGACAATGAAACATTCTGATCACTGGATCATGACTGGATGGCATGTAGAACAGTGGGATTTTGAAAACAATGAAAAGACAATGAAACATTCTGATCACTGGATCATGACTGGATGGCATGGAGAACAGTGAGATTTTCAAAACAAATAAACAATGAAAAGACAATGAAACATTCTGATCACTTGATCATGACTGGATGGCATGGAGAACAGTGAGATTTTCAAAACAATGAAAAGACAATGAAACATTCTGATCACTGGATCATGACTGGATGGCATGGAGAACAGTGAGATTTTCAAAACAATGAAAAGACAATGAAACATTCTGATCACTGGATCATGGCTGGATGGCATGGAGAACAGTGGGATTTTCAAAACAATGAAAAGACAATGAAACATTCTGATCACTGAATCATGACTGGATGGCATGGAAAACAGTAGGATTTTCAAAAACAATGAAAACACAATGGAACATTCTGATAACTGGATCACGACTGGATGGCACGGAGAACAGTGGGATTTTCAAAACAATGAAAAGACAATGGAACATTCTGATCACTGAATCATGACTGGATGGCATGGAGAACTGTAGGATTTTCAAAAACAATGAAAACACAATGGAACATTTTGATCACTCGATCACGACTGGATGGCACGGAGAACAGTGGGATTTTCAAAACCTATTCAGATTGTTCATCTGAATATCTAGCACAAGCTACTTACCGGTACAGCGGCTTATACGTGGTGCCACAGATTGTGAATGGATTATGAGGATCGTATAGGAGTTCGTGTGTATCCGTAGGATTCTTGTCGCACGCTTGAAGGATCTTACGAGTCTAAATAAAATATGATAATTATAGTATACCTTGCTTCACCAATATCGTCCTATATTTGCTTGCTTTCTATTGGATAGCTTTATCACTTCTCTCGAGGGGTCGAGTAAAGATCATCTGTTATTGATCCAGTGTTACTACAGGAGGAAACGCAAACTAAACTAAACTGAACTAAACTAACTTTATTTATACTAGATAGCTCTATCAGTTCTAAACTATTCTCCCCAGACGTCCCGTAAGGATCATCTCTTACTGATCCAGTGTTACTACAGGAGCAAGTCTAATAGACGTGAAAGCCAGATGTAGTTACCACTGTAGTACTAAACAAAACAACAATTCAAATGACAAACCTGTGTAGCGACATCAGGGCGTGGTCCAAGCTCCAATAAACGTCTAGCAAAGGAAGAAGCTGTCTTGTAGTTCTTCAACTAAATTAAAGAAACCATTCAAGATATTATGGCAACAGAAAATCAACCTCACAATCTACAGTTATCAGAATGAGACTGGGATGCAGATTCGGCCATCTCAAATAATGGTAATGTTGTGATAGTAGCGTTGCAGACTGTGCAGTAAGGCACCCTCATGCACCACCCCATGGAAAACTGCACCCCTCCTTGCAAAAGAGGCTATATACGCGCCCTGGTATGCAGTAGTCTCGTCGTGGGAGTCAAATAAATAAAATTGGAGAACAATAATTAAATTTCCTTTGACCTACAACTGTTAACATTTCTGCAGTGTGAGCTACCAGCGCTGTTTACATAAAATATCAACGTGGTTTTGTACCTTAAAAAAGAGATTCAATGCTGTTCTCAGAGTCAAAATCTGATGTACAGGTTGGAGATTACAATGCGTGAAATACGCGGCCATTTCACAGTGCCTTTTCTGCTCTTCCAAATTTCCCTTAAAAAAACACGAACATTGTGAGAATAGGAAACGTTGTTTACATGCCCCCATGACCGCTGAATTAAATGTAGGTCGACGTTCAATGTTGGGTAACTTCGCTGCGCTTAAGGTGGCTCCATACAGTTGTCGTGGGACTGGTAACGAAATGACGTAATCTTGTCGAGTTGAAATTTCATTAGTGATAGCTTAGCTAAAATTCATTGTGCGTAGTAAGTACCAAAGGGGGTTCATTTTCAATGGTTTTAGGCCCAATTCTCAACGGTGAAAATATGCGATTCTGATTTATCGGATTCGTATTTGCTCATTTTTTTATCCATTTGGCATGAAGAACAATCATTCGACAGCTAAAAGCCTGATCTTTCCGAATATAAAAAAATCTTGGTCAAACGGAAAGTAATTCAGATACAATAGCGCGCTGAAATTCGATTTCATTATTAGCATGTCAAAATTACTGGATGCTGATTGGTTGAGAGGAGTACAATTATTTCATTAATTGTACTGCTGTACAATTAATGATTTTTCCGAAACAAAACAAAATGGCGGAAAGGTATTTTGACAAAATACAAAAGTGAAATGAAATTGCCCTAGAGAAACTAGATGAAAATACGAACAAAAGCACCAAATGTTGCTTTAACAAAAGAGCTAAATGAAAATACGAACAAAAGCGCCAAATTTTGGTTGATCTGACAGGACTGAGCTTTGGCGAGAGAATATGATGTTGACATTGAGAAGTATCCAATTTTGTCATGCTAATAATAAACAACTCGTGATGTTTGGAAATTTGCCAAATTGGACTCGCCCCGGCGGCTCGTCCAATTTTGGCAAAATTTCCAAACATCACTCGTACTATTAATCCCTAATTCTACGAGCACCATCGCATGATTATCTATCCTTATACGCAGTGTATAACTTTTTATACACACACTGAACCCTGAAAGGATTCTCAATGATAGCGACAAAAATATGTTCAAAATGCACGAAAAACAATTCACCATATTATCCATTCCTAATGTCTCTTTTTCCCGATTTTTGAAACGTTTTGAAACTTTCTAAGTTTCAAGGTATTTAACATTGCGAATCTGCCTTTGTGTGGTTATTTAAAAGCGCACAATTTAAAGGCTACTTGCTTTAGAATTATTTAGCAGCTCGTAGGCTGATATTCTCGATAGTAATTTGCAAGCGATTAAATTGCCCCACAAAGAAATTATTCACCCACGAAAATATGGTCATAATGTGTTTTACAAAATTATTCTTGTGTACAGTGTGGCATAGTCAACAACCTTCCTACTGTACCTTGGGCAAGGTTTTACGTTTAATTTCCATCAACAGCCCAACGATATATTCTCGACAGATTCCGAGTAGTTGCTGCGCCTGAAAATTAAGATGGAATTATATGTCATTATAATTTCCTCTCAGTAGCACGCGAGAAGACTGATTCCAGTTTGATTCCAGGTAATCTAGTTTTCTTTCTATACTAAAACAGTAAAACTAGACCAACAAGGTTTAATTGTCTTTACAAGACTTCTATAAATAACTTTTTAGAACTGATAAGGCTATCCAGTATAAACAAAGTTAGTTTAGTTTATGTTTCCTCCTGTAGCAACACTGGATCAATAAGAGATGATCCTTACTGGACCTCTAGGAAGAACAGTTTAGAGCTGATAGAGCTATCCAGTATAAATAAAGTTAGTTGAGTTTATGTTTCCTCCTGTAGTAACACTGGATCAATAAGAGATGATCCTTACTGGACCTCTAGGAAGAACAGTTCAGAATCTGAATGATTATATACAAGCATCTCTACTAATCTTACCTCACTGATATCTTGTTTAGAGTCCACTACAAGTAATGTAACATGAAGCAAGATATCTTGGAATTTCACCGCAGCCTCCTGGAATTTCCCGCCTGTAGTTAGTTGGTACGCAATCTGAAGCCGCTGTACAAGTGTGTTCAGTTTAACACCAACAGCAGGAAGACCAGCGCGGGCTCCAGCTTCTTTCCTGTATAACAACAAAATAGACATTAAAATTCAGTTTTAAAACGATTTATATGAACTAAAACTGTTACTACAGGGGGAAACCTAAACCAAACTAACTTTAATTATTTATTTATAATAGATAGCTCTGCCAGTTCTAAACTATTCCTTCTAGAGGTCCAGTAAGAGCCACCTCGTATTGATCCAGTATTACTACAGGAGGAAACCTAAACTACTGTAAACAAACTTTATTTATACTGGATAGCTCTGTCAGTTCTAAACTGTTCTTCCTAGAGGTCCAGTAAGGATCATCTCTTATTGATCCAGTGTTACTACAGGAGGAAACCTAAACTAAACTAACTATATTTACACTGGATAGCTCTGTCAGTTCTAAACTGTTCTTCCTAGAGGTCCAGTAAGGATCATCTCTTATTGATCCAGTGTTACTACAGGAGGAAACCTAAACTAAACTAACTATATTTACACTGGATAGCTCTAACAGTTTTAAACTGTTTTTCCTAGAGGTCCAGTAAGGATCATCTCTTATTGATCCAGTAGTGTTACTACAGGAGGAAACCTAAACTAAACTAACTATCACTTCTAAACTGTTCTTCTGACACCTGTATATTGCAACAGCCTGCGGCCGGTTGTTCAAAAGTCGATTAGCTTAACCGTAGGTTAACTTAAATTCAAAGTACACTTCCTAACAGCTTGTTTTTAAATTTGGAAATATTTCTTCACAAATCATGTCTAGATCAATAGGAGTTTTCTTTTCTGACATTTTGAAATAAATGGACGTGCAGATATATGGCAACTAAAACAGCAGGTTAAATTTTAACCCTGGGTTAGCGCTAATCGTCCAATCCACCTTTAGCGCTAATCGGCCAATCCAACCGGTCCCAGGTTGTCTAAGCCATGCATTGAAAAGCGGGAGCATATGCTTACCAGTTTCTATGAGGAAAGGCGAACATGGTGGGCAAGCCAGGCAATCCTGTGTAAGCGACGCGAGATCGAGAGAAAGTCGAAAGAAAGAGAGATTTATATGGCGCAAAATCCACAACTCCAAGCTGATCGTGCAACAACTAGAAAACAGAAACGGAGATAAAGTTTATATCTTGAAAGCACGGCTGTTTAATTATGACCTGTGAAACTCATTCAGGGAGCGTTCATTATTTACAGCGGGGGGGGGGGGGGGGGGGGG